TTTCAAAGGGTTCCTCCTTCCCACCTGAATACACATGACCTTTCCAGGTTGAAAAGGTAATTCTCTTTGTGTTTTCCATTTTTTTTTAAAATAAGTTTTATATATAAAATAAATTTACTTATAAAGATTTACTAACAAAGTTCATATATGCTGCTTTTCACACTGGATTTTTCCCATTTCCTCTACCCACCCCTCCCTCTACGCATCAAATTGTGAGACCCTAAGATTACCCAGCTGTCCATGCGCGCCCCTCTCCTCCTACCCTCCTTTCTCGTTCCTTCCTTTGTTCATTTTCTTTCTCCTTTACCCTAAAGTATTGGGAGTCACTCTGCATTATACAAACTCAGTTTCTGTGCTTGGATGGGCTGACAAGGGGACTCCTCTGGTTCCTTTTCTTTGCTTTACCTTAACGTGGAAGCCAGTCTTCCTAGTAGAAACCCAGGACCTGTGCTCTTGGACAGGCTGAAGAGATGATTCCTTTTGCTTTAAGTGGTTGGTGAGAAATAAACCTGGAGCCTGTATGTTTAGCTGGGAAACTGCCTCCCACTAGGCCCTCGGGGAGCTCTCTCCGATGGAGGGTAGCACTAGTGTATGGTAACTCTGAAAGTCTGAAAAGTTGGCAGGATGAAATGAACAGATACCTGAAATCTCAATCCATGAGGATTCTTATTCCTTAAGGCCTTCTAAGTCCTTTTCGTTTGTATATACACTGGTTTGTCTATTATTCTGCTATTGAGTCTCATTTATTTAAGCTAAGTATCCCAATCTAGGTATCTCCTGTTTGTTTTAGTAAGTATGCAGGCCCTTAGACAAGATTGATCCAGTGTTAATCTGGATTGCTGATTCCCTTTGTTATAATGTGTAAATCCAGCCAGGACATTGGAAGACAGTTTATATCGACAACTCTTACTTTTCTACCTTTGTTCCTAAGCACTTTATAGACTACTTCCTGTCTTACTGCAATCCTGTCTCCCAGTCCTCTGGTAGTGACCCCTGCTTTCTCTGATCACATTGGGGTCTTACCCTATCTTGCCAGCCCTTAGATCTGTGGCTTAAGACTGGTAACTCGATTTAATTCCTTGCCATCTCACCAAACACCATTTAAATTTTCCCCAGCTTTGGTGACATAAGTCTGCCACACTCCACACCGTTTTCTCTGTATAGAAAGACACCCCTAAGTCAGTAGAAGATTTCTACCCCTGTAAGATCCCACAACCTTTAGTCCCTAAGACCCTTCTCCAGAAAAGCAGCTGGTTAATATCAGGGCCCAGGATACCTGAGCACCTGCCCAAGATTAACATGCTCCTCCTTTGTAGGAAGGTTGACAACTGGCCACCAAAATTACAACCATAAATGGAAAGCAAAGCACTCCAAAATATTCCCAGAGAGTGCATCTTTTTTTTTTCATTGATTTTAAAGAACATTTACAGAGATTTTGGATTTCCATTCATTCATTATTGCATTTTTCTCCCCAGAGAGTGCATCTTGAAGAAATGATCACTCACTCTGGAAAACCTTAAAGGGGGGGAGGGGGGGAAGCTATAGCCTTACACTGCTGGTGTGGAATCTAAGAGAAAGGGGAGAATAGCTACAATGCTGTTTAACCTCAATCCTGGGTGGGGGATCAAAAACAATGGCCCATAAATGGCTCTCTTGAGTTTAATACACTCCCAGTTAAATCTCTTCTGTAAAAGAGAAAAAAAAAAAGAGCTGGAGGACCTATGTGCAGGATTTCATGGCCTTAGAACAAAACTGAGACTGGAAAAAGGTTGCAGAGCTGAATTTATTACCAAGAAACCCTTAAAGGTTTTTATTCTAAAATCCTCAGACACCGAGGGAGATTTGTTAGGAGACCCTCTTCTTAAGACAATCAACCCCATCAGCCCATAACTCCTAAAATAGCAAGGCTGGCTCACCTCCCCACCCATTCAGCTCAAAAACCTGAACACTCACCTTACAGAAACCCCATTTCTTTTTTTCCTTTTTAAGACAGTCTATTTTTTTTTTCTTTCATACTGGTTGATTTATAAAGTTCATGTTTTGCACACTGGATCTTTCCCATTTCCCTCACTTCCCCCCTTCCACCCATCAAATTAATTGTGCAATGCTATAATTAACCCCCGTAACTCCATTTCTTGAACCCAAGATTCCTGACAGCCTAATAGCCCAGTGTTCTCACCACCTTATAGGTTTAAGGTCAAGGTGTAAACTCTGCCTCCAACTGGGCACAAGACTCCTCCTTGGGGCAGTATTCTTGGAAAAGTGCAACCAAGGAGCCCCCTAGAGGCAAGGATGGTGGAACTTCATCTTGTCAGAAGAGGCCAGTTCGTGGAAGGGGATGTCAATGCTGGGAAAGGAAGACCCTCAACGAGACAGACTGTAACAAGCGACTGTATGAATGGGCTCGAGCATATCAGAGATGATGACGCAAGACAGAGCACAGTTCAACTCTAGTGGCCCAGTGGTAAGAAACTACACTGCACTCCCAAAGGTCTGAGGTTCAAATCCACCAGCTGCTCTACAGGAGGATGTACAATCTCCTCCCGTGCTATTTATTGCCTCTGAAAACATACTGGAGGGTCAGCTCTGGGTCAATTCTGACTTGACAATACACAACATCATGAGTTGTGGGCGACATGATGGCACCTAACAATAACATTCAAAACAAGAGCTGAAAGAAAGTACATGGAATTGATGACAGTAGGGACCTCTGAGGAGAGGAACGGGGCAGAGGTCAAGAGTGGAGGGAGATGTCACTTTCTGTTTGTTTATGCACTCTGTACCTGTTGAGTTTTCTATCAGACATTTATTACCTGTCTAAAAATAAATACATGAATTTTTTAAAAAAATACAAAAACACAAGTACTAAAACCACAAGAGTAGACAGGAAGGACTAAGAAAAACCTAAAGTGTTCTCAGTTCCTGAGAGATGAGACCCGAGTTGGGCTGCCAGCTTGTGTCAGGTCACCCCTGGGCCAGCTAGTAACAGGTGTCATCACTAAACTGGGCAGGAGGTGAGCGTCAGTGCAGGACTTCAAGGGCTGAGACCCTGTGTCTCCAAGGCCCAGCCAGAGCGGGACTCAGCACAGCAGGGATCAACAGATGAGAGTCAACCAACTATCAGAAGAGGATTCTATCACAACCTGGTGCTCCTAGACACATAGAAGTTGTTCCAGAATTGGTTACTTTTCTCCAAAATGGGAAGAGGAAATTTGAAGCACTGATCCAAGTCTCTTTCTTTTCCTATCATTCTCTTTATCTCCCAGTGAATGTTTCCCCTTTACACTCACTTGTGGCTGTTGAGTTGGTTCCAGGTCACAGCTCCCCTCATTGGCTTTTCTAGACCATTGGAGGGAGACTGTCCATCTTCCTGCCAAGGAATCGCTGATGGATTTTAACCACTAGGGATCCACAGCCTTTGGGGTTTCAGTGCAAAATGCTATTCACTTGACCTCCAAAATAGGTACATTATAACTCCACTAAAGTTATAAAAGGGAGCTTGGTGGCCTAGCAGTAAGTAACTGTGCTGCCAGCCCAAAGGTATGTGGTTCCAACACACCAGCTGTTCTGCAGGAGAAGGATAGGCATTCTCCTCTTGTGTAATTTACAGCCTCTGAAAACCCGCTGGAGGGTCAGCTATGAGTCTATTCCAACTTAACAGTACATAACAACAACAAAGTTAAAAGCTGAGTAGGGGACATGTCCCAGCTGTCTGTTTTTTAGTTGTGGGAGGGATTATTCGGAAGGAAGAGCAGAAATTGCTTCAAACAAAACCACACAGAAAGGCCAGCCCCCAGCCCCCACTGCAGGCCCACACAGTGACCACGCTTGGCCACCTTCTCCGCAGGAGGGGACACTGAGGTCTCCAGACCAGGCCAGCTGGACAGTCATTTTCCAAGATAAAGACTCAAGCCTGGTGATCTGTGAGCCTTTTCCTTCCTTCATCACTGTGGCTTCTAGGGCATCTGCAAGTTCTCTTCACACACGGAGGTGCTATGCTCTGCACCCCGTTTCCCCCTGGGAGGCCTGTGTCCCAGACTCACAGGAGGTTCTGTGGTGGCTCTGGAGCCTCTTACAGCCAGGGGGACCAAGAGAAGCCCGGAAGGGCAGGGCTCAGACAGTGGGACTGAGGAAGTGATCATTTTAAGGCCACCCACTCCAGTACCTTCTGTCTGATTCTCTGTGAGACTATGAACGTTGGAGACGCCACACATAAAACGTGGGGAGAGGAGCATTCAGAAAACGACTGCATGATGGCACTGAAGTCAGGAGGTGGCTCTGCCAGCCTTACGACATTAGGAGACTTAACAGAAAAAGCACTGCTTAGACATCTGAAAGAGCAAGAATTTATACTCAACATATTGAATTCAAAAGGCAGAAGTCAACAGTTACATGATTTTTTCAGGTGTGTAAATCAAGACTCTGATGGAAGAGGCCAGATGGTCAGTGGGTGGGAGGACGGCCAAGAACACTTGGCCTTTGGCACATCCCAGCCCCGGCCATGTAGAGGTCACTATGTGGGAAGGCGTGGACTCAGGAAGGAAGCTGTGTTTTCAGGATAGGCTGGCCCAGCCCCGAGACCCCATGTCCTGCAACAAAAGTCACCTTCACAAGGTGAAAAGGTCCTGAGGGAGGGTCTGCGTCTGCTGGACCCCATGACTTTCCAGCTTCAGGTGACCAGGAGAGAATCCAGGAAACACCACCAGTGCCGCAGGCAGCTTCCCAGAGGTCCGGTACTCACTAGTGTGTGAGAGCACAAAGCCACAGCTTCTTCCAGTTTCTAGAACATGAGATCACACAGCAGTAGGCACTCCAACAGGACTTCCACGCCAGCTCAGGGGACACACTGGCAGCGTGGAGTCTCAGGGGACTCTGGATAGCCACCCCTGCCTCCTTCCACAGCACATGAGGTTGGGGGTCATCCACGGGCACTCACTTCCTGGACAGCCCGGCCTAGTCCCCGTACCGAATCTCCGCCTGCAGCTCCTTGGTCATGTAGTTCACCAGCATGGCCAGCAGCTGCTGCTGCAGGGCCTCGCTGCCCATGACCAGCGCGGTCAGCTGCACAATGTCCGTCCACTCCAGGTGCCTGATGATGGCTGAGGCCTCATTAAAGAGCTTCTGCTGCTCGGCCGGGGGCAGCTCCATTATGATCTGAGGAATGGGCTTAAATTGTCCACTCGTCATCCAGGCACCTAACAGACCCCCGACGGCCCCTCCTGGAAAACAAGGAAAGGTCTAATTAGGCAGGCCATGCTCGTATATGACAGTCAAGCTTCTCGCTGAGAGGACAGCCACTAACATGACCAGCAGGTGCACTTGTGAGTCCGAGTGGGCTCAGTGTCACCGCTGCATCTCCAGGCGGCACGGAGGGCAAAGGTTTATGGAACTGACGGTCCATTAGGCTCAGCTAACTGACACTCAAGCAGGCCCCTCCGGTCTGTACTACAATGAAAAGTGAAGAATGGCACATTGAGAACTGTGCCGGCTGGGATCCTCCTTCAGGACTGAAGACGGTTCTCCTGCCCCCCAGCGTCTCTCCTCACGTGGGAGTGAGCTCTCGAGGGTCAGTTCACCGGGAAGGCTGAGTGTCCTCCCCTGGTGGTTAGTGCACTTCGGCCCGTGACCTGCAGAATCTGCTGGTGCCCTCGCACAGAATCGTGAGGACAGATGGCATCATTTTCTCCAGAAGCAACGTTGCTTGTGCAGTACCGCAAAAGGTGTGTAACAATAACAAACACATTTACCTCATCCAAGTCTTTCTTCTGTGCACAAAAGGGTGCTAATACAATTTTTATTAAATTTACTGTTAAAAGGACTCACGTAAGGACCTACTGGAGTAGGGATTCGAGGACTTTGTGACCATGGGAAGTTCCACCTGGCCAGGCCTGGTCCCCAGGGGTACAAGACAGTGCAGACAGGAGCGGGCACTCCAGGGCAACAGTGCTAACCTCAAGAGCCACCACGGAGTGTGGGCCGACTGAACCAGAGGTGGGGGACAGAGAGCAGGATCCCTGTCCAGAGGGAGGGGCTACTTTACACTTCTCTAACAGACCCACAAAACAAGTGACAAGCCAGCTTTTTAGCTTTAAAAAAGTTTGGATTTCTCAATGCCAGAAATTAGGTATTTCAAAATGCAGCCCAGCTAGACTTAGTGACTCATTTCCAAAAAACATATCAATGAAACTGACCAAGGACAGCACCAGCAGTGACGTCACGTGGATGCAGGCACCCCTGAGGCCCAGGATGAAAAGAACACATCACTTTGGGTTTTCTTCCCCCGAAGGTCCAGGTTGCGGCTGCCGTGAGCTGCTGCTGAGCCAGTCCCTGACCCGGTGACCCCAGTGAAATGAAGTGCTGCCTGGTCCTGCACCATTCGTGCGAGAGGCCATGACTAGACTGTTGTGATCCACAGCATTTCACTGGCTGAGGACCAGCAGCTGACCACCAGGTCTTTCTTCTGAGCCTGTCTTGGTCTGGAAGCTCTGCTGAGATCTGTTCAAAATCAAAGCAACATCCAGGCCTCCACTGACGAGTGTGTGCTCAACCGCCAGAAGCCGAATCTCCTACAGAGAAGCCAAAAATCTACCACATCACACTCGCTCCCACCGCCTCAGTGTGATTACGAGGGAAGATCAGAGAAAGGCAAACTGGAGGAAATTATATGAAATATCTGACTCTTTAAATATATTCAGGCCAGGGAAGCTCTGGTGGCCTAGTGGCAAGAAGCTGCACTGCAATCCCAGAGGAGCGCTGTTCAAATCTACCAGATGCTCTGCTGGAGAAGGAGGGGCAATCTCCTCTTGTACCAGTCAGATCTGATTTGACAGTTTACACACACACAAAATAATAAAAATAAAATTAAAAAAATATATCCAGGCCAGGAAAAACAAAGAGAAATGAAGAAACTGTCCGAGACCAGAGAAGACTAAAGCAAAAACATCACTGAAGCAATATGGTGTCTTGAACTAAATCTTAAAACCAGAAAAAAAAGGTTATTAATGCAGAAATGAGTGAAATCCAGATGAAATCTGAAGGACAGCTAGTGGTAATGGCTGGAGTCCTGCTTTTACAAAAGTTTAAGACCAAGTTCAAGATGAATTGAAACTGGAGGAAAAAACCTGAAACTGGGTGAGAGATAGACAGAAATTCTCTGCAAGTTCCCTCCAAATCTAGTACCACTTCAAAAAAACTGAAAACTGCTGCTCATGTGAAAACAAGTCAACAAACCCTGGGTGCAGTCTGGATTCAGAACATTTGGCTCAGAGGCGGGCAGGATGTGCACACCCTCTCGGCCCCTGGAGACGTGGGCCGGACTCCTGACGTGGGCAGGACTCCTGACCTGGCCGGACTCCTGACCTGGCGGCTGAACTCTGCACCTGCAAAGCATAGCCTTCCCCTCCAAAGAATGAACATTCTAGGAAGTGAAAAGCAGAACTTAACAAGTTTTACTGAACACACCCCCATGACACCAGTGAATGCTTAGAGCCAACAAGAGCTGCACTCCTCTGCACTAAACCTTTATGAGAACATAAATATTTGATTTAGAGCAGCACTTAATGCAGAAAGTCTCCAGGAATATCAACTAGGAAATTATCAACTCTGCGGAGAAGAGAAAATCCCTTTGTTTTCGGGTTAGCGTGATGCTCCCACGCGTGACTGGGGCTGGGAAGTGGCGAATCCCTGGTTCCCCTTACAGACATACTGTTCTCTACGGCTTTTACTAGATCTCAATAAAATGTGTGTTCTCAAAAGGGCATCAGGGGACAGTTACCTGCTAAAATTATCCCAGTAAGCCCTCTTGAAGCACATTAGATGGGGGTGAGGACAAAGAGAGGGAATGTCACAGAGGAAGGAATGGCCTTTCCTCCCACGTCCTGGATGACAACGAGCGGAGGTCAGGACCTACCAGTTCTCAGTGTTTGGAAAGCGAAAGAAGGAGCTATGGAGAAGGACACCTGGTCACACCCGTGTCATGATCTCTCTCCACAGTGAGGCCTGAGTGTAATATAAAATGTCCTTAGATGTCAACTCCACTGCCATGCTGAAGTGTTCAGTGCAGGCAGCCTCAATGGTAGGCAGGGACACAGAAGTCAAGCTTAGTGGTGACAAAGCACTCTCTCTCTCTCTTCTGTCTGTGTTAATGTGAGGGCCACCGGCCAGGGAGGAAGACTTCTGCTGGACAGTGAGCTCTCTGAGACATCCCCTGACCCCCGCCGGGCCCCTTAGCACAGGCTGCCCAGCAGACAGCAAATGTTCAGAGACTGCTAGGTGAGCCCAAGAGGGCAGGCCAGGCCAGGCTAACAGTGGACACTAAGCCACTAAGAAAACACCTGGGGAAGGAGCCTGCAGAACTTATGAGTTGCTACTGTGTGATAGCCTTATGTGCCCAGCACTGCCAGTCTGAATGGCAGCTGAGTCAGCATTCTAGCTCCAGCCTAGCCCCTGGCTCGGGTCCCAGACCTGGGCATGACGGGTCTCATAAGCCTGGGCGCAGGAGCTCTTCCTGCTTGGGAGCCAACGGAAGAAAAGGATGACTTCAGACCCAAAAAGTGATGCCTTTCTGAGAAATCAAGTTACACCACCTCTTGGGCAATTAGGCCAACCTTTTATCACTGCCAAAAGCTGGTTCCCAAAAAGAAGAAAGGACAAAACAATGGTGCAGGGTGACCACCCCAGGAGCAAAAGACAGCGCTCTGGTGGGTCAGCTCTTTGTTTTTTCTGTATGGGACTTTTTGCTCTGAAAATGATGACATTCTTTCTAAAATAAATGTCAATGGTCATAGAACATGTATGTATAACAAATAACCCAAAACCCAAACCCACTACTATAAGGTTGGTTCAGGGATCCCCTGGGACAGGGCAGAACTGCCCCAGAAAGTTTCCAAGGGTATAAATCCCCAAACAAACAAAATTTACTGGCATCAAACCAGTGCAGCTCATAGCAACTCCCGTGAGGCTTCTGAAGCCAGGGATCTTTACGGGAGACTGCTCAGTGCTCCCTGAGGTAGACTTGAACCGCTGACCTTTCAGGAAGCAGACTGGTGGGTCACACTCTGCCACCAGGGCTCCTTTTACTCACAGTAAGGGCTCAGCAAAGCCCAGCTTGCTGTCTGGCTCCCTTTCTGAAGTGACATGGTAATGAATGAGCCCAGGGGAGGGGCAGTGCAGGGGATACAGCATATACTGGTATCTGTCCTCTGTGAGACACACCCTATGGGAGGGACCCTAGCACTCAGATCCAATCCTGAACATCCCTCCTGAGACTCACACAGGAGACTTTCATAGGATCAATTACTCTCTCTCTCTCTACACACACACACATACACACAGTCATGAAAACAACACTGACCAGCTCCCTGGGGGTCCCAGAGGCCCCTTTAAATATCTGCCTGGTTGACTGTCCCCAGAAGGCACTTACCTAAGGCCAGTCCTGGGGGGCCACCAACCAAGCCGCCAACAAAAGCCACGGCCCCCGTGACCAGGGCGCCCTTCCCCGACTGCTTGAAGGCCGCCTTCATCTTCCTCTCCTCGGACACAGAGCACAGCAGCTGCATGATGTCCCCCACCATGGCCGGCATCCTGATGGCCTTCAGGAAGAAGCGCACAAGGAGAGTTTGAACAGACTTAGAGGAGTTTCCCCAATGGAGCTTTCAGGAGGGTCCTAGCTTCCTGCAGAGAAAGACAGCGCCACCATGAGCATGGCAGAGCAGCCCTCACATAGGAAGCTCACCGCTCTGGGGAAATCAGGGCAGCGTCCACACAAAGAGCAAACAATCAGCAGAGAAGAGATCTACTCTGTTTTCTGATACTCTTTCAGTTTCTGATCAGATTAAGGGGAGCCTGGCCACAAGGACACATTTCACCATCTCTCGCAACAGTGGCCTGCAATTGGCTCAGACATCCCCAGACTCAGGCCTGCAAAGTCCCAGGCCTCGTGTCCACTTCCTGCAGCAAAGGCAGCTGACCACACACTGAGCCAAGGGAGAGGAAAGGCCAGGCTGGGAGTGCAAACAGACCTTACTCCAGCCAGCTTCACCCCAGTAAGTCTAAGCACAGGACTAGACCCTCCAAGCACCAGATGCCACCTTGTGAGGAGCTTTCAGTAGGACGGGACATCATGGTAGGTAAATGGGACAGTCAGCAAAGATAGGGAAGGACCTCAGTGAATCAGGGTGACACAGTGGCCACAGCAATGCACTTTGACAGAGCAGCGATCATGACGACGGTGGCAGGACCTGACAATGATTTGCTCTGGTTCCATAAAGCCATGATCCAAGCCAACTCAACGACAACTAACAACGGACAGAGAGACACCTACAGGCTGGATTCCTGTTAGGGCGACAAAGCAGATGTAAAGGGCCTGCCATGACCCAGACCCTTTGGACCCTCAGCCACAACGGGGCTCATGGAACCCGGCTGAAACTAACACACAGCAGGGCTTCTTACAGCAACCACTCCTAACATCAACACATCACTACATGCGATATTAGACACAATGACAAGACAGAGCGGTAGGATGATGGGACAGGCGGACAAGGTCAAGAACACCAGGGTTTTGCAGTATGAAGCGATGGAGGAAGGAAGGGATGGCTTGCTTAATTCCTCCTGGAAAGAGTGGACGTGGGCCCCGTTGGCAGGGAAATGGTAAGTTCCACCACTGAGGCCTGAGTGGGAGTGGAGGACCCAAACACCAACAAAGCGCTGGGAAGGGGAATGGAAACCATAGTCCTTCTCAGGGAACTTCAGCTCTTTCTGCACTTTCCTTTCTCACCGGCACTTGCCATTTCACTGGAGACTGACACATCCCAATAGCTGTTAGTGAGACTTAACTGAAGGTGAGATGTCTCTGGTGTAATCATCCACTCAATGCTGAAGGGAACTCTGTGCCCTCACAAAGCACCACTAATGGGTCAACATGCAGAATTTCTCTGCAGCACAGGAAAGCGGAGCAGTTCCCTGGTCTCTAGCCCTGATGACGGTTCCCTGTGAAACTTCACATCAGCCTTTTTACAGGAGTTCAAGTGAAAGGCAGACTGAGGCAGTTCATATGTTATGCACCCAGGATTGCATTTCCAACAAGCTTCAAGATGGTCTTTGGACCTCACTGGGACAGCCAGGCACTTAGCATCTGGCCCAGAAGGTTTGGTTACCTGTGGCTCAGTCCTCAAATTCAGAAGCTGCAACCAGGAGTCCTCAAGACATGTGAGTTTGGCCAAGCAAGTGGATGGAGGGCAGGCCTGACAGGGCTGTGTAAGGGACTGGAGAACACAGGCCTGCCCAGCATGGCTCTGGTCCTATCACACCTTCTGCTTCCAGGCCCGGCCTCAGCCCCTCTGCTCACCAGCACCAAATGCTTCCAGAAAGGCAGAATACTGAGGATCCTCTTCTTCCGCCCTGGAAGAGAGCGCTCCTCCATCCTCCTACCAGTCAAGATGCGTCCGCACACAAATGGACACAACAATAAAATAGCATCGTGGCAGGGAAGGGAATGAACACAGCTGACTATTCTGACTCAAGCCCTCTCCACATGCTTCAGAGGGGCCCTGTGCTCCACGTGGTGTGTGATGACTAGGACGCTTTCTCCTGGGGCTCCTTGGGCAGAGCTGAACTGCCAACCTTTCAGTTAGCAACCAAGTGTTTAACCATTTGTGCCAAGAAGGAACTCATTAACACAGCAGAAACGAACCAGCTCACTGCTCGAGTCAGAACGGACATAAACTGACCTTCTGTTGGGTTTCTGAGGCTGTAAATCAAATTACACACAAGGAGACTGCCCATTTTCTCCTGCAGAGTCACAGGTGGATTTGAATTGTCAGAGAGGTTAGCAACTCAACTCCCACGGACTTCACCACCAGAACTCCCTGCATATCCCAGGAGCCACCCAGAAATGCTAGATTTACCCAGCAATCATGATCCCAAAAAACTATGCAGACAAACAAAACTGGTTTCACTTCCATATTAATATATACATACACACACATATGTTATTGTTGTTATTATGCACCATTAAGACTGATTCACAGCTGACCCTCCAGTGGGTTTTCAGAGGCAGTAAAGCACATGGGGGGGACATCACCCATCTTCCTCTTCCAGTGGGCAGGTGGGAAAATTAGAATTTCATACCTCTGGGTTGGCAAAACAACTCCTTACCACGAAGCCACCAGAGCTGTGTGTGTGTGTGTGTGTGTGTGTGTGTGTGTGTATTAATGACAATCAAATCAACCAAAGCAGCTAATTTTATGGCAAAACTCTTCAGAAACTGGTGGTGGGTGGGGGGGTGCATCTCACAATAAACTACCTTAGCACCCTCTAGTTTAGCTCTGGGTTATACTCAGCCTTCCATCAATCAAATGTTCTGGAAAAGGGAGGAGCAGCTGAGTCAGGAGGCAAATCCAGGCTTAAAGAAACCTCCCATCCCCAGGGACATGAAAACCACACTGCTGACTCACACCCTACAAGTGTGCAAGTCTGGCCTCCCACCCAGCTCGTGCTGGCCAGTGGCACTCCAAAAATTATTTCCTACAGAAAAATGCATCAGCACTCTCAGACCACCTGTGCAGCAAGAAAATGCATGTAATGAGGAAGGAAATGACAGCTATCTTCTAAGAAAACTCCAGCTTCTCACTTCCTCTGGATGATTCTAAGTCAAAATTCCCGGGGACTATTCGAGTCTTTGTGCCTGCCAATCCAAGCTGCTCTCAAACCTCACTGAGCAGCAGGAGGCTGGGGCACTGGGAGGTCAGCCGTGGGAGGGCAGGGGGAGGAAGGGGCCCCACACATCACAGGTGAGGCAGCGCTGTGGTTGCCTCAACTCATGGGAAAGCTGAGTTCATTTCCTCAGGTAAGTGGGGTCAGAGACGCAGCACTACTGGCCCCTTAGGTGGTAAGGTCTCCTGTGCAGTTGCTAGAAGCTCAGTTCTCCAGGGCTGCAAAACTCAGGACAAAGTCAGCAGTACTGGTCCTTCCCCACTCCCTGCTGTACCCCAGGGAGAGGTGCACCCCACAGCGTCAGCCCTCACATCTACTTCAGAGTCTTCAGATTCACACCTGTCCACAAAGGAGGTTCTGGGGTCAAAAGAATCAGTGAAATCCATCTGAAAGCAACAGGCTGGCTTTTGGAGGTGACCAGGTCGTTAGGCTTAGAGGACAGACCCAGTTGCATGCACCCCATTTAAAAAAAAAAAAAAAACAGAGAAAGTTGAGCCTCTCTGCAATCAGTGATCTCCCCCCTACAACACACTGTCTCTATGTTCATGAGGAAATTTACACAACCGCCTCTGAAAACCCACTGGAGGGTCAGCTATGGGTTGGTGTTCCAAGCCCATGGTACACAACACCAACCATTTAAAAAATTTGGAAGGGTCAGCATAAGAGAGAAAAACACTGGATGAGATGGATTGACTATGGCAACGGGATCAGGTGTTTCAAAGAAAGTGAGGCTGGATCAGAATAGGACATGGTTCAGAGAGTCTTGAACCTCAGGGTCGCTGTGAGTTGGAGACAACATTTAAAAAGCAGGAAGCTCTAGTGGCTCAGTGGTAAGTGAAGTATTCGAGTTAACGCCTAACTCATTCTGTCTCAGCCCAGGAGTTAGTCCATTTCTCATATAAATGCCTTGTTCCCACTAAATAGGTTATTTCGTGTAGCTTAATATGCTGCTTGGTTGAACACAGCAAAAGGCGGCGGTCTGTGAAACCACAAAGGCTGGGGATTTCCTGCACTTGTAGGGAGCTGCCTGTTTAAAGGAAAGGTTAAGGATGCTATCTGCTTCTGTAAAGTTGCTTTTGCTCTTCAGAGTAGGGTCTGCATGTTCCAGAACAACGCCTAACTATAACTCACCTGGTTTTGGGTTTTTTTCCTTTATAAGGCTTGAGCATGAAATCATTCGGGGTCGAGGGTCTCTGGACCATGAGCTCGCCCTGGCCGCAGGCTAATAAAGGACTCATTACAAAGGTCCTCCGCGTGGGGCGCTTCCCCGATCCTGGGCTGCGTCTAACAGTAAGGAGCTGCATCGCTGAACTAAAGGCAGGTGGGTTAAAGAAATCCACAAGCTGCCCCGCCAGAGATGGGGAGATGGCACAGCGCCTCTGAAAATCCGCCAGAGGGTCAGCTGCGGGTCAGTTCTGACGTTAAAGGACTATAATAAAAACACTTTAAAAGTAAGTTCCTCTAGGAACCAGGACTGTCAAATCACGCCGAGGGCTGGGAATCCCGCTACCTTCCGCTTCTGCCCGACTTTTTTGGAAACGGAAATGCAAACACCAACCGTGTCCACTACCCAGGGTCAGGGACGGAAGGTCAGGGCTCCCAATCATCCGCGGCCCCGCGGTGGGGCAGCTCCACGAAGTGGTGCCGAGGCGGGGACCAGCCCCCGCGGGCGCCTGGAGGTCACCGCGGGCTCCGCGCCGGCGCGTCCGGAGTCCGAGTCACGGCCCCCAGCGTCCGCCCGCGAGGAGACCGTGGCCTGGTGGTGCCCACCCGCCCGCGCCCCACACGGCCCTTACCTTGACCTGCAAGGAACCGCCAGGCTCGGCCCCGGCTCCGGATCGGCTCGGCTCCGCTCGGCCTGACTCGGCCC